CCCGAGCTCGTAAGAGATAGGGGAGGCTCTCAACATACTCAATACTCGAAGGTTTCTCCTCCTCCAAAAACCCCCTTCACATCTTTCGCTGACTTGATCGTCGGAGGGGTCGGGTCGAACACTCCGACCCGACCTTGGTGCAGGTGCGAAGCCTTCGGAGGCTCAGCGGGCTCGAGGAGCCCCTTCGTCCTTTGACCGCCACCTTCCGGACCCGAACCAAGCCGCGAAGACCTCAGGGCCACGGCTGAACAGTTACTGACCGTAACATTTTGGCGCTAGAAGGAGGGCCCGGAATGTCGACTGGTCAACAAACCCGCCTCGGCGATTCCTCAGCTGCGAGGACGCACCCGATCGGGACCCCGGGAGATCATCCCCCGCGGGAAGAGCCCCAAGAGGGGCGCCTCGCTACGACTTCGGAGCAATACTGGCGCCTGTTCAATGACCCGGGCTTGTCGCCACCCGACGCCACCGTCGTCCCCCCATCAGTTTCCCCCGAGGCCTTCCACGACCTCGCCCACCAAGTAAGGGCACTGGCGGGCGTAGTGCAAGCCATCATTTCGCTCATCCCCCAGTCGGCGCCCCCGCAAACGGACCAGCCCTTGCATCAACGGGAGCCTGCCCCTCGGGAGTACGCACCGCCCCCCGGGCCTCCTCCGTCGCCCCGAAACCAAGCGACCCGGCTCGGTGACCGGGAGACCGTGGGCACGTCGAGCCGCCCCGAGCCCGAGTGGCCACACGCGAACCCAACCCACACCTTGCAGGCGCAGCTGCATCTTTTCAATCAACGTTTGAATGAGGTACAACAAGAAGTTCGCAGGTCGAAAGGAGAGCTCGGAACGGAAGGGTACCAAGGATCCCCATTCGCGACCGAAATACAAGATCAGGCCATCCCGCCGCACTTTCGGCTTCCATCCCTGGACACCTACAACGGCGCCACCGACCCCGCGGATCACGTAGCCGCGTTTCGCGCCCAAATGACGCTGTACGGAACCTCTGATGCCCTGATGTGCAAGGCATTCCCGACGACCCTGAGGGGGCCGGCCTGCGCATGGTACGGCAGCCTCAAGGCAGGAACCATCTCTTCTTTCGACCAGCTCGCCCGGGACTTTGAGCTCAACCTCCTCGCCTACGCGCGTCCGAAGCCATCCGCGGCGCTACTCCTCGGACTCAACCAAGGGGAAGATGAGTCCCTTTCCCACTTCTTGGACCGTTTCACGACGTAGATCCGAGGGCTCTCGGACGCTCATCCTTCCCTATTGATGCAGGCATTCATGATAGGCTTACGACCCTCCAGGTTCTTCTGGTCCCTGGTGGAGCGACCCCCCACAACCGTACCAGAGATGCTTCAACGGGCGAGCCAATTCGTCGCTGCAGAGACGTGGATGACCGGGAGACCCAGGGGACACAGGGGGACCAAATCGGAGCCGCCTCGACAGCAACAGCCACCAACATCCCGGCGCAGGTCGGACAGATCTGACCCAACGGCTCTGAGGCCCCCCCTACCAGCTTTGAATTCATCTCAAACGGACATATTCCTTCATATAAGGGGAAAGGGTTTGCTCAAAGAACCCTACCCGATGAGTGACCCCCGGGCGCTGGAAAATCAATCGAAATACTGCCGCTTCCATCGGCAACGTGGGCACGACACTGAACAATGCCGGGAATTGAAAAGACAGATCGAGGAACTCATCCGTAGGGGGCACCTCGATCAGTATCTCCACCCGAACAAAGAATCTTCTCCCCCCCCGGAAGGGCCCGTCGAGCGTCGTATCGACGTGATATCAGGCGGCCCCGCGTACGGTGGAGACTCCATGGCCCGCAAGAAGGCATACGCCCGAGCCGCCTCAGCTGAGGCTCCCAGACACGCGCCCGGGCCCAGTGTCACCTTCCCGGCCGGGACGTATAAACAGGCTGAGCACGATGATGCACTCGTGATATCAGCCAGGATCGCCAACGCGCAGGTACAAAGGATCATGGTCGATACCGGGAGCTCGGCCGACATACTATACCTCGACGCCTACCGGAAGCTCGGCCTACCCAGAGATAGCATGAAGCCGGTGTCCTCGGTGCTCACCGGCTTCACCGGTGATTCAGTTTCGCCGCTGGGGGCGGTTACCTTGCCCCTGACCCTGGGAGTTCCACCAAAGTCGAAGACAACGATGACCACCTTCTTGGTCATCGACCTCCCCGCCGCTTACAACGCCATCCTTGGTCGGCCGACACTCAACAAAGTTAGAGCTGTCGTCTCGACCTACTATCAGACCGTGAGGTTCCCGACCTCCGCAGGGACCGGTGAAATTACGGGAAGTCCTCGAGAATCCCGGCGCTGTTACTTGACCGCCGTCTCGCTACCTAAAAAGCCCAGGGTCGAACCATCGTTGACGGACCCCCGAGAAATGCAAAGGTCGGCTCCCCATGCCGAGCCGAAGGGAACCACAGTCGCCATGTCACTACAGGAATGATGCCCGGAACGGGCGATCATGGTCGGGTCAGAGCTGCCCGAGCACGAACGAGAACAACTCGTAAGCCTCCTACAAGAAAACGCTGATGTCTTCGCTTGGTCACCCTCTGACATGACAGGCGTCGACCCAGGGGTCGCCCTACATCGCCTCAGTATCTCCGCCGACGCTCGTCCGGTAAAATAAAAGCTGAGACGGCATGCCCCTGAACGGCAGACAGCCATACGAGAAGAAGTAACTCGCCTCTTGAAGGCAGGGTTCATAAAAGAAGCCGGATACCCGCAATGGCTGTCCAATGTAGTTCTTGTCAAAAAAGCAAATGGAAGCTGGAGGATGTGCGTTGACTACACAAGCCTTAACAAGGCATGTCCAAAGGACTGCTATCCCCTACAAAGGGTCGACCAGCTGGTTGACGCCACGGCAGGCCATACCCGCCTGTCATTTATGGACGCCTTCTCGGGCTATAACCAGATCGGGATGGCACCTGAAGATCAAGAACACACGGCCTTCATCACCAATCAAGGGGTCTACTTTTACAAGGTCATGCCCTTCGGGCTGAAAAATGCCGGCGCGACATATCAAAGGGCAGTAAACAAGATATTCGCTAGCTAGATTGGCCGCAACATGGAGGTGTATGTCGACGACATGATCGTAAAGAGCCAAGAAGTCGGGACTCACTTGGCTGATTTGGCCGAAGCTTTCGCTACACTCCGCCAGGTCGGCATGCGGCTCAAACCCGCGAAATGCGCCTTCGGCGTCACATCAGGAAAATTCCTCGGATTCATCGTGCATGAAAGAGGGATCGACGCCGACCCGGAGAAGCTCCAAGCAATCATCAACATGCAATCGCCCCAGACTACCAAGGACTTGCAGCGCCTCAATGGAAAACTCGTCGCCATGTCCCGATTCCTCGCTCGGTCAGGAGATCGCTGTTTCCCCTTCTTCAAGGCACTGCAAAACCCGAAGGGCTTCCAATGGACGACAGAATGAGAGGAAGCCCTCCAGCAAGTAAAGCGACACCTGGCCAACCTCCCGCGGCTCACCTCGGTCTCTCCCGGCGAAAAACTGAGCATCTATCTGGCCGCTTCCCCGCACGCAGTGAGTTCCGTCCTGGTTAAAGAAAGCTCCAACGGCCAACTCCCGGTCTACTACACAAGCCACGTCCTCAGCAGCCCGGAGGAACGATACCCTCCGATCGAGAAGCTAGCGCTCGCCCTTGTGCTGTTCGCCCGGAAACTGCGCCCCTATTTCCAGGCCCACCCCGTAGAGGTAGTTACGGACCAACCACTTCGGTTGGTCCTGTCTAAATTTGATGTGGCAGGACGGCTTCTCAAATGGGCAGTAGAGCTCGGCGAACATGACATTCAGTATGTACCCCGGACGGCCATCAAAGCCCAGTCCGTCGCCGACTTCATCGCGGAGTTAACCCAAGACGAGAGCGGGAGCCTCGGACGGCCTCCCGAGGCCTGGGTCCTGCACGTCGACGGATCGGCCAACTCAAAGGGTGCAAGCGCAGGGTTGGTGCTCCGAGCCCCCGACGGGCGGTCATTCGAGCGTTCCCTCCGCTTCGGGTTCCGCGCCACTAATAACGAAGCAGAGTACGAAGCACTCCTAGCGGGACTCAGGTTGGCCCTCGAGATGCAGGTGGACTCCCTCCGTGTCCACATAGATTCCCAGCTGGTGGCCGAGCAACTCAGTGGAGGATATGAGGCTCACGACCCGACCATGGCAAGATACCTTGCACAGGTGAGGAACTTAACCACAAAGTTCCATCATCTTACATTATCTAATGTCCCAAGAGCGGAGAACGAGCGCGCTGACGCGCTGGCTAAGCTGGCCTCGAAACCTGCCCCCAGAGTCGGGCCGGAGGTAGAGGAGCTACCCGCCCGTGCCTTTGAAATCGCGACAGCGGCTACCAGCAGCGCGTCCTCCTGGGTACAAGAACTGCTGCACTACAAACGGGACGAAATTCTTCCGCCCGACAAAGCAACAGCCCGGCGCCTGCTTCGCACGCACGCGTGGTATATCGAGGCGAGCGGGCGGCTCTACAAGCGATCCTTCTCGTACCCCCTCCTGCGATGCTTGGAGCCTGACGAGGCGCAAACCGTCCTGACAGAGATACATGAGGGTGCCTGCGGAGAACACATCGGTGGGCGGACCTTAGCGCATAAAATACTCCGCCAAGGCTACTACTGGCCGACCATGCGCCGGGATGCAAGAACATACGTGCAGCGGTGTATCTCATGCCAAGAGCACCCCCGCACACCTCGGCTCCCGGTAGTCCCGCTAGTCCCTATCGACTGCGCTTGGCCGTTTGCGCAATTGGGGTTAGACATCCTCGGGCCCTTTCCCTTAGCCGCAGGACAGCGGAGATTCCTCATCGTCGGCGTGGATTACTTCACGAAGTGGGTCGAGGCCGAACCACTGGCAAAAATCACGGCGCAACAAGTAGAGAAGTTCATCTGGAAAAACTTGATTACTCGTTTCGGCCTGCCCAAAACCATCATTACGGATAATGGGCCCCAGTTCTCCAGTCAGAGATTTCGGGAGTTCTGCGCAAGACACGGAGTCCAACTGAAGTACAGTTCGGTCGCTCACCCCCAAACGAACGGGCTAACGGAAGTGACCAACCGGTCCATCCTGGACGGGCTCAAGAGAAGAGTATCCGCGGCTCGGACGACCTGGACGGACGAGCTCCCGAGTGTACTATGGGCGCTGCGCACCACACCAAAAACAGCAACGGGAGAATCTCCGTACAGCCTCGCATTCGGAACCAAGGCGATACTTCCCCCCGAGATAGTCATTGCCACCCTCCGGACGAAAGGCTACGACGAGGAAACCTCGGATGAAGGACTCCGAGCCGCCCTTGACTTACTGGAAGAGCGACGTGCCGACGCACATGTAAGAGCCCTCTCCTACAAGAGGGCGATCGCAAGGGTCTACAACCGAAAGGTAAGACCTCGACCTATCAGATTGGGCGACCTGGTCCTGCGGCGGGCTGAGGTTAGTGACCCGACCCGACAAAGAGGCAAGCTAGCCCCCAGTTGGGAAGGCCCCTATCGGGTGACCGAAGTCATCGGAACCGGCGCATTCCGGCTCGCCACAACGGAAGGTCAGTCCCTGCCGAGGACCTGGAATGCACAAAATCTCAAAAAGTTCTTTCCATAAGACTCGGCCAGTCACGAAACACAGATCATTGAAAAGAGAGCATATTCATTCAAAAACAAAGGGGGTGTTACAAGAACAAAAGCAAAAAAGATATAGTACAAGGGACGTCAATCCTCAGGAACGTCCGGGCTGTCGTCAAAAGGAACATCGGCTGGCATGTCGACGCCCAGATCTTCGGGGAGGGAGCAGAAGGGGTCCTCCACCACCTCCGAGTCGGGATGACGTGCCTTGAAGCGGGCAAGAGCAACCCGGTACCCGTACTCGTACGAGACCCGCCCGGTACGAACAAGGCCTAGCTGAAAACCCGAGGAGGCTTTGTAGTCCTCGATCAGCTTTTGGTCCTTCTCCGGCCTTTGGCGGATCTCGGCCTCCAGAGCCTCGGAGGCCCTCGACGCCTCGGCCCGTGCCTCTTCGAGACGCCGAGCCAGCTCGACGGAGTCGGACCTCGCCGAGCGAGACTTCGCCACCGCCGCCTTCAGGCGATCCTGCGACTCGGTGTTGCGCTCCTCAGACGCCTCCAGCAGCGTCTGCAACTCCGCAAGTCGCTCGGTGGACGCCTGAAGCTCAGAGCTAAGCCGCGCAACCTCCGCCTCCGAATTCAAGGCACGCTGCTCGGCCGCAGCCACTGCATCAGGGCCGGCCCCGGCTCGGGCCTAGTCCACCTGCTGCCGGAGCTCGACGTTGCGGCTGCTCAGGGCGGCGATAACCTGCCCCGCGTCTCGAACGCGATCCATCAAGGCGGCGGCATAGTGGTTGCCCTGAGAAAAAGGGCAAGATCAGAGTTAGAGCCAAGCCCGTCCCCGGACAGATAAACCCAGGGGCGAAATGACGCTTACCCATAACAGGGACTTGGCTGCCTTGCCAAGCAGGGCGTCGGAAGGCAGGGAATACAAGTCCCGGGCCATATCGGGATGAAGCCCACCTCGGATGAACCTGCCCGCGATATCCCCGTTGGCCCACACCCGGGTGCCACGGGTAAGACCATCCCACCGAGCTACCAGAGGGTCGGTGGCCGCGCCGCGGGGGAGAGCACCCACCTCCCGCACCAAGTACGGTTCATCCTCCCTTAGCGGAAGGCAGAGAAGCTCGCGGACGGAAGGTTGGCGAGGCGCCTCTATCGCCACACTCCCGCTCGTACCGGCCCCGCCCTCTCCGAGGCTCCCCATGGCACCCTCCACCGCCGGCGCCACCATGACCCCCGCTGCCGGAGCTGCAACTGCCTCAAGACCCTCGCCGGAGGATGCCCGTGCCCTCTTCCGAGACTTGCCCGTCTCGACGTCCACTGGAGCTTCCCTCGTGCCCGCCTTGGCGACGGAAGGTGGATGGCCCGGCACAGCAGAAGTCTTCCCCCCACGAAAGGCCTCAAGACGCACCATATCTGCCGAGAAGGATCGGAACAACTGTCAGTCAAATGACAACACGCAAAGAAAAAAGAAAAGGAAACCCCCAATGGAACTGCTCCTCGGAGCGTACCTAGAGGCGCCGGGCTAAGGCCCGCCTCCACTAACCACCGCTCAGACATGCTCCGGACAGCTTGGGAGGACGGGAGGATTTCTCTGAGCCGCAGAAGCCCCAGGCGCTCGTCGTCGTCCAAGACCGAGGTGGTGTTGTCTATCACACGCGCCCCCCAGCGGACGCCAAACCCCCAGTCTTCCGAGCGACTGACAAAGAAGAAGCGCTCATTCCACCCCTTGTTACTGGAAGGGGCCCCGCTCACTCTAAAACCCGCTCGGGCAGACAGGTAATAACCCCCCGACCCCTTGGAAAGACGAAAGCAGGAGAGGAAGAGGGAACGGGTCGGGGGTATGTTGGCGTAATGACATTCGCCCAGAAAC